ATTTGAAATTCTAAATCTTGCTAGTAGATGGTATGCATTCTTCAGCTTTTGAAACAGCCAGACTGACTGATCTCTCTGTTGTAACAATGTGCAGCTCAGGAATGCAGGACTCCTATAAAAATCGAAAGGCATTCCTAAGTTCTCTTAACTTTGGGGAAAAGTCTTAATATATGCTCAGGTTATTCCCCAGTTTGGGAATTTTTGGAGAAATTGTGGTGGGTTGACATTGGCTGACTTGGTTTACATCAAACTGTTCCCTCACTCCCCTTCTTCAGCAGGACATGGGAAGAAAATAGGACAAAAAAGTTCATGCATTGAGACGGGATTATTCAGCAGTTATCATCATGGTCAAAATAGACTTTACCTGGGGAAGTTTAATACAACTTATCATCAGCTGATAACAAAGAAGGACAGTGAAAGAATGCTGTAGTAGTTGCCTTTCGGGGGAGGTGGAAAGTGATTCAAACCCTAATTAAGCATGAGGCAAATAGATATTTGGTGTGGTGTGTACAGATACAGTCTCCTTGCAGATGAATACATACATGGATGCAACCTCACTTTTGCTAGCTTGGTGCTCACTGACCTAAAGAGAAGAGCACAGGGGCTTCCTGTGACTTCCTATGTGTATGTATTTCATGTTCAGCAGTGCTGTTAAATACACTCTGATGTGTATGCAGTGCTGCTGTCTGTGCTGTTTTCACAGAATCAATGAGGTTGGAAAAGTCCTCAGAGGTTGAGTCCAATCTGTGACAGAACACCACCATGTCAACCAGACCATGGCACTGAGTGCCAGGTCCAGTCTTTCCTTTAAACACCTCTGAGGTTAGTGACTCCACCATCTCTCTGGGCAGCCCATTCTAATGTCTAATCACCCCTTCTGTGAAGAAATTCCTATTGATGTCCAACCTGAACCTCCCCTCACATAGCTGAAGACTGTCCTCCTGTCCTGTCTCTGGTTGCCTGGGAGAAGAGGCTGGCTTCACCTGGCTGTACCCTCCTTTAGGGAGTTGTAGAGAGTGATGAGGTCACTCCTGAGTCTCCTTTTCTCCATGCTAAACACCACCAGCTCCCTCAGCCACTCCTCCCAGGACTTAGGATCCTGACCCTTCACCAGCTCCCCTGCCTTTCTCTGGTTGTGCTCCAGCACCTCAATGTCCTTTTGTAATGAGGGGCTCAGAAGTGGACACAGTACTCAATTGTGGCCTCACCAGTGCCAAATATAGGGGTTTTGGTGCCAACTGACTTAAAAGGCACTACTGAAGCTGCTTAATCTGATCTGAGCATATTTTCATAATAGTCTTTGTAATTCATCCATCCAAGAATCTGGTTTAGATGACAAAATGCAAGAATACGCATCATCATCATCTGGTTGGTTGTTTTTAAGTTGCAACAAAGCATTTGAAGACTGACTCAAAGAATAGATAAAAAGTGAAAACTTTCATGCAAGTTTGAAATATATACTGAAAAAAGAGGTAGAGTGCTAACTTGCCTCTCTTTCTAGGTGGGTGATATCAGCTCAATCTAGATGCTGTCAGATACACACCATGTTGCTTTCCACACTGCAATAACTCTATATACTACATGAACTTTGGAAACAGTGTGTGACAGTTTTTTGCTTATTCGTGTGCTTTCTCTAAAAGTGCAAACACTTAGGTTCTTTGTGAGGTCTCTAGTTGTAGTCTCAAAACACTTACTGACTTGGAAGTATGCAATAAAGCTGTTCATTGGGAGCAGGCTCTGCTGGCATAGAGTTCTTCACTTGGCATATAACTTCTATGTCTTCCCAGTCAGCTAGTCTAAGCAGAAGGAAATGCTGAGAGCAGTTGAAGTGGAAAACACAGTGGATCTTGCTGAAGAATGGAAGTTGGAGGGAAAAGACTTAGAATGAATAGTCATGTAATTTACTTTTAAACCTGAACATGTGACCTCTTCGTCACACGAATAGATGCTTGCTGACTTGGTCCCTAAACAGACATTTGAGGTTTGAGTCTTCTGTTCTGTATTCCAAAGAAAAACTGTTATAAAGAATGTCCCTATCTGCGTTAGATGCTCTAGCAAGCCATTTTCTCCTAATTAATTTTAAGGGGTGTTTGATAGAAGAGAGCTTCTTGGTAGTACTCTGATCTTAATAGCTTCTGAGAAAAATGCATTGATTAGCCCTTTGTTTTTAAAAGACTGCTGTAATTTTCAGTCATTATCTATAAGGAAATCCCTAATTTATTAAACCAGCATCATGGATTAAGAATTAAAGACCTGACTCTTTTATCACTTAAACTGGTGTTATGTTGATGTTACCCAGGAGGACTATTTGAAAGACAAAGTGTAAGGTGTTCCAGTGGACTCTTAAACACATGTTTCTAGACCTCATTCATGAGATCAAAACTGATTCTTTTTGTTATTTGTACTGAGAATAAATTGTATTCTTGGAGTTTGGGTGATGAAAACAGTAAAAAAAATCTGATGAGTTTATGTCTGAGAAAAGAAACTTAGATACCATTCCATATGCAATGTTTAGGTTGCATATTTTGTAGGTAGTCAAAAGAGAAAATTTCTCTGTGTAGTTTCCACTTTTCAGAAAAAAATAATTTAAGCAGTGTCTCTCATTTCTTGTTCCTTTTGCAAGCAAGTGAGGTTAGTTGCCTTTGGATGCTACTGCTTAAGTAGATTTAGTTTGCCTTAAAACAGCTCTCTGAAGCTTTACTGAATTGAAGTTTGATGGCTGAATTAGGAAAGTGAGGAATTAATTACTTTCAGACATTCCATTGTGTCTTAATAAAATTGTAAGGCAATAATTGTTTTATCAGGGTTATCTCAATATTTGTTTATTTCTGTGAGGTTTTATTTTAAATACATGTCAGGAAGTAAATGATTTGCATAAACGTAACATTTTAATAAAGTTTGGCATCTGTCATAACGAAAAGGTAACCAAAAAAATTACTGGATTAATTGGTGGAAAAAAGACTAATTATTTTTTTTACAAAGTCTATCTGTCAGCTGCTTTCTACAGTAAATTTATGTTGAGTATATCAAATAGTGAGTTTTCAGGTTTTCACGAAGTAAGCAGTACTCTGGTCTTTATTTGTGGCTGCTGTTTTTATGTTTTATCCCATGGCTGACTGATCTCTGGGAATTACCTTAGTGTGATTCTGTGGGATAGAATTAAACAGGCAGACTAGCACAAAAATACTTGTGATCATTTTTAGCCAAGGACAGTAGGATAAACCCAGTCATCAGGGTCTTGGACACTGTAGAGTCTTTGAAGCCATCCAGTTGCAGGTAGCTGGTTGCTTCTATTTTCACTGTTTTAAAGAAAGTTTCTGTCTTTTTTTCTTTAATTGTTTGGCTCTGTCTTCTTAGTCTTCATTGGAAGGATTGGAGAAGACAGCAGTGGTTTCTACTAGACAACATTTCTCATTCTGCTTGGCCTTCAAAAACAATGCCTTTAATCAAAGCCCAAGCTAGTAAATTGTCTGCTGCCCTAAGAATCATATCTTTAATAGGAAGGTTTGTTAAAGCTGGAAAAGTTTTTTGCGAGTATCATGACAGTGGTTGCTACAATATATAGAGGCCTGTTCTGCCATTCTGAGTGACAGCTGGTGTCAGCTGTGGTACTGAATAGTGCAGCAAGATAAAGGGAACAAAAGGGCACACTTTGCCTGCTGATAATAGGCTGGGGACTGCCATAAACTCTTTATATAAATTATACAATAATACCAATTCTCTTTCTTAAATTTTTCCTCACCTTCCTTGTGGTTGAAAAACTGGCTAAATAACTTCCGAAGGCGCTGCAGCAATTCTTGTGTGTGCTCTTTGCTGTGGCGAGCAGAGTCAGCAAAGACCAGTAAAACAAATGTTTCAGATCACTGATCTAGACTCAGTGCCTCACATAATGGGGTCTCATATAAACTAAAAGGATAGGCATAAAGATTTTTTTCATTGGTTAATTCCCTAGGCTGCTGACGGCTGCTGTTTTGTTATTGCATGCGACTGGCACATTTAGAAATACTGTCTCAGGGCTTCCTCCCTGGGAAAACTATTCCATGCCTCAGAGGGGAAGCAGTGGAGGAGTGGAACAGGATGGCAGAAGCACCTCCTGTCTAACTGTATGCAGAATACCGGGGTTGTGTTTACTGAGAGATGAGTGTTCATTCTAGCAGTGGTGGTAGTGATGGTAGGGGGAGGTCAGTACAATATTTGATAGGTCAGAATTCTCTGCAGAGGACATTTCCTCTGAATGCTCAATTGCTGATGTTGGACTGGACCTTTCCAAAATTACAAAAACGTTTCATAAGTAACCTTAGGATTGATTCCTTTCTGGAAACACTTCTGGGTCACGGGTTAGTACTGTTATTGATGTTTCATTTCTGGGTTTCTGGATTATAACTGACAGAATCAGTGTCAAGGAATAATTGAAGAAAATGTGTGTATTGTGCATAGCCAAGCTTTTATTTTCTTGCCAAAATCAAGTGTTATTTGAGTATGAGGGGAGAAGAAGACAATAAAGCTAGAATTAAGGGGTTGCTACCTCTTGTTTGGGGACCATAGCTGGGATAGCTTGTAGAGAAAAGCACATCTAACCAAGCTCTAAAGCTTGCCTTTACTGCTCTTGAAGATTACAGAGGTTGCAGTGTATGCCTCATGAAGTACAGACAAGTCAAATAAAAATATAAGTTCATATCAAAGCTGTCATATATTTCAGACCAAAATATTTGCTCATATTTTATCAATGAAAACCTTATAGAAGAGTATTGCTGTCCATGGAGTGGAGTTATATACTCACAGGTTTTACAGAGTGAAGATTGAAATTTAAGAATTTGTTTCCAAATCCAAATGTAAATTGGTTCACAAATACAGTATTCTCTTTACACTGTTACTTTTGCAAATACTGACATCAAGCCTTTTCCTATGATAGACTTAATTTTAAGTGTAAGCATAAAGTTTGTTTTAAGTCTGTAGAAATAAATGCACTCTGTAACTGCTGATACTATTTGGTTTTGCAGGTTGTCTTCTGAATTTTGTGTCTGAAGGTATCCTCTTGCTTTCTCAGCAAATCATGGACATCGTTGGCTTTCTGAAGTCTCAATTCATTTGCCACCTTCTGATCTGCTACATATTTATAGTGTCAGGACTGATCATTAACTTCATGCAACTCTTTACACTTATACTTTGGCCAATCAACAAGCAACTGTTCAGGAAGATCAACTGCAGGCTGGCTTACTGCATTTCAAGCCGTAAGATTTCTTTTTTTTTTTTTTTTTTTTTTTTTTTTTAATTTAAGTATTTTCATATTTTGTCTTGAGGGAATTGGTAGAAAAGTTCTGGATTTCAAAGCCTTTATAAAGGTCATGTCTGCTTCTTACAGCACCTGCTCTTGTATGAAGAGATGTATGCCTTGTTGAAATGTCTTCTTGTGCTGAAATGTTTTGCTGTTTTATAGTGGGATACTTGCTTGCCTTACTATGTTGAAGTAAGATTTCCTCTCATTTGGTTATCCATCATGAGAAATCCAAATGAGAAATATTGACCAAATAATGCATCTCAGCAAGTTCAGCTATTATCTGTAGGCTTACAGTGTTAACAAATCACTTCCAATAATGCTTTCAATCTTTTTATCACCCATGATTTTGTTTATGATCTTGGTTTAAATGTTTCATGTGCAAATCCTATTCAGGACTGGGAAATAACAGAAAAAAAAGGAAAAATCCTTGATTCCTATTGCTTTTTTCCTAAAGCCAGTTATAAACTGTTTTCTTTGAATACTGTTTTAGATCTTAAGCTGCATCTGTATGTATTCAGTATATGCATGTAGTTATAATGCAAAATACAGCAGGTAGCCTGTAATCATTTGAAAGAAGCAGGGATTACAACGATACTGATTTTTCTGGGGGAGATGGGAGCATGAGTTCACTGCTGAGAGATGTGACAGTTTACTGCACTTAATGAAAACAGGTAATTCCAGTAGAATGAGTGACAGCTGTACCTGTTTGTTTGTTCTCTGTTAGTGGGATCTTCACCTGACAACAGTGCATTATCACAGCATGTGCAGTTTTCTTGTTAGAATCAGTTTGCTTATATATTTACTTTTAAAGAGCTACAACTGCAGTTTCAGCAATTCTATTGTACTGCTGCTTCTGTCTTCCACATAACTGCATTAACTTAGAGCAGAGAGAATTCTCCACTGAAACTCTTACAGAAATGCTATGGGAATGCTTATAGAAATACATTCAGTATTTAGGAGTGTGCTGTTAAATGTGTTCGCCTTCCAGAGATATTTCCCTGGGCCTTTCTGAACCTCAAAAGTAGTTTCTTAGAAGGAAACTTGTTGAAAAATGCATGCTTTTTGTTGCTCCTTAAAGATTATTCAAGTGTGGTGTCCCTGTCAATGCTAAGTAACTTCTGGATGTTTTCATACTGGGGAAAACAACCCTCTCATATAGCATTTAACAGTTGTGGTGTAGAAATGCAGCAAAATGGTTTCTTTCAAGTAACCTTTTCTACTACTAGGACCCTGAAACAGAAAATCATTCTTAGTATTCAAAACGAACTGTGAAATAGAAATCTGTCACATGCCTCAACCTGGGGCCACTTGGGATTATTTATCTTTCATCAGTGACTCTGATGAGCAATGATTCAAAGCATATTTTTAAAACATACTTTTGACTTAAATTTCAAGTGCGTCAGAGTTTATAGTCCCAAATAAATTGGTGATGCTGTTTTATTATTTCTGTAATGGAGAGAAGATGTTCTTTCTGAAAAATTTCGTTTTTACTGTCTGTGTGTATGTCCCTGAAGTATTGAGTTTGCAAGTGCTATTCATTTGCATGTACAAAGTGTGGTATTGAATCTGGCCAGGTTTTTACCTTTTGCCTGGCAGCATAGTGTATGTTTGTAGAAGATACTGTACAGCTGTATATAGGTATATATTATTATTTTTCATGCAATGCCTTCTGGTCCATTCTTGCTTTTGGCTACTGAGTGCAGAGATACCAGATGTTCTACAGTCTTCAGGCTGAATCCTTCAGTTTAGCTCAATCTAGTCTGATCTAGTGAATGGACAGTATGGAGGAGGGAGCAGTCCTGAATGCTTGTTTGTCCTTGGTGGGGCAGATGGCTTTGTACTCAGGGTTGCTGATCTAGTCTTCGGTGTTGATGACACTGGAATAGGTGTATTGTGAGGTTTTTGCCCAGTCATGCTCAGAATAAAGCATGTCTAGGTTAAAGCCGTTTATTTTGGTTTTACAACAGAGCAAGCTAGCATTTGATGAGTCACCCTTAGCTGAGTGATATTTGGAAAGGGGAAAATGATAGTTAATTTGAAAAACTATTTCAAAGAACTTAAGACCAATTAATCAAAATAGATGTGTTTTTGAGGGCCATTGATGTGGTGACTAATAAGTCGGGTCTGTATGGATCTGATGAAAGTCATGGAAACAGCCTACAGTTGGAGACAATGAGGTTCAGCATTGGAGAATATAAAGACGCATGTGCTTTTGCAATGGTGACAAGAATCATGTTGTCTTGAGAGCCTGATACAGCCTGAGTCACCAAGTCAACCAAAGAGTGAAACAGAGCAGGCATGGTTTAATTGAAAAATGAAATGAAAGCAGCAGTTGTCCTTAGATCCTGCAAGTTCAGTTGTTTTCCATTTGATGTCAAAGGTAGAGATAAATGGCTCCATGAAATTGGAGAGTTATTTTGTCTTTGATGCTGTGCTCTTTGGGCAAGGTGGGGGTTTTTGTATTTCAAGTAGTGGTATTTTCTTACACCCTTTTTCTTCCTATCTCCTTCCTAGTATAAGGACGTAATAGTCTCACTTCTTTTCATGCACTGTGTGCTGTCATAATGCATATGGGAAGCTAAAGTTCTATTGTGATTAATGACTTGTCCTCACTTGAGTAGTACAGCTTGAGTTGGACTGCTTCTCTGTTCACATTGATCAAACCAAACTAGCTTGAGTTAAAGTATTCATGGAATCATTAAGGTTGGAAAAGACCCTTATGATTGAGTCCAACAGTCAGCTTGGCACTGCCAAATCCACTGCTAAACCATGTCCCTAATAGCCACATCTACACATCTTATAAATATCTCTAAGGATAATGACTCAATCCTAGGCAGCCTGTTCCAGTGCTTGATAACCCTTTCCATGAAGAATGTTTCCCAAATATCCAATCTAAACCTTTCTGGGTGCAGTATGAATCCATTTCCTCTTGTCCTGTCTCTTTTTACTTGGGAAAAGAGGCCAACCCTCACTTTGCTACAGCCTCCTTTCAGGTAGCTGTAGTGAATGATAAGGTCTCCCCTGATCCTCCTTTTCTCCCTCAGTTGCTCCTCATAAGACTTGTGCCACAGACCCTACAGCAGCTCCATGCCATGAACTGGCTGCATGGAGTATCTGTGGTTGGGTAGTTGAGCACAGGTAGCTGTGCAGGCTGCTGCTTCTCTCCTCTGAGTTTGGCACCTGCACTACAGCTTCTCACCATAACTGCTGACAGCCCAGAAGGCTAAAGCCACACACATCAAACTTCTTATCAATGCAAGTTAAAGAGTTAAAAACCTGGTTTCCAGTTTGAATTGACAGAAGAATTAACTAGAGCAACAACTTGCTTTTAATGAAACAGAGCAGGTATAATGGCATATACCAAGTTGCCTTCAGCAACTGATGATAAGTTATTACCATTCTTGAAACCAATTGTGAGACAACAGGGTGAGCTTAGCTTCTCAACTGACCTACTCCAATATGTAATAGCATTGGGGATGCTCACCAAAGGGTGTGTTATCCATTTCCCATATTGAGATTTGGGTTGCTTTTATATCTCCAAGATACTTCTCATACTTTACTATGAATAAACTTGTCCTGTTTGATCCTGTTATCCCATTTGACAAATATATACAGAATAATGGTTAGTTCTAGTCCTATGCCCTCTGTATGTAGTGATCTTTACTGAAGAGAGTTGTTGCAAAGAGTGGACATCCAGCTTCAAAAGGACAAACTTTTGTCTGTGCTTGAAATGAGCCAAAAGATTGGTAAGGGTTATGCACCCTCTTTCAGGTTTTAACAAACAAACAAACAAAACCCCCCAAAACAAAGAAAGCAAAAGAAACTACACACACACAATTATTAGAACCTAATAATCCTCCCAAAATAAAAACAGGACACCAGAATCTTAGGGATTCTAAATTGCAGAAAATATTTTCTGGCTTCAAATATATATTCATGGATGGGTTCAACTGCCTGTTAACTCCCCCTTTTGTAAAATGACAACCCTGGTAAACTCCCTCATACAGAAATCAACAGAGTGCACCCTAATAAGGAAATTGAACACTGCAAACCTCAATAGGGTGATAACAATAAAAATTTCAAATATAAGCGTGCTTGGAAGTTGGCTTAAGAGCAAAGGTTGGGCAAGCAATCAATCTTGGGTTTTATTTTTAAATAATTTAGGAACAATTTGTCCTCAGTTGCTTCTTCTAAAAGACAGAGAACCAAGGTAGGAAGCACTTAGTATGGAATACATCACAGTTCTCATAGAAGCTGATTGTACCTGAATTGGAAGAGTTGGGAATACATCTTATTCCTCCCTCTTACATCATAGCAAATCACCCCAAGGGGTACACACAGCTTTTCTGCAGTAGCTTGTAAAGTTGGCCAAACACATAGAAGGAACTTGGATTCACGCCATGTGTACGCATGACTGCTCAGTTTGCTGGGGAGTGGGAAAGCGATTTGTGCTTCCCAAATCACTTTGTGCTTGCTTGGCCTTTGAAGTGCAACCCCAGGTAAAGTAGAGTGTACTGGGATCCTGTGGACTGTTCAGGATGTGTGCCTGGACTGTGAGAATGGGACATACACATACAGGATACATGGTTTCTTTAGAGATGCTGAGTTGAGGTATTAGCCTGTGAGTAGAGCAGTGTTGTTATCTTGTCCTCTTGCTGCCACTGTACTGGGGGGAAATGAGCTTCTTGTGCTCCCAGGGTGAGTGGCAGACTGGCTTCCTGCTGACTCTGCACCAGGTGAACATTGCATAAACAGAATATCTGGCAGTAATGACATGGTTGTGTAGACGTGTGCACAAGGGCCTTAAAATCAACCAATTTAGCTTCTAATCTGCCTTCATAAATAAATTACGGTAGTACTAATACCTGTTGTTGTGCTATGAAAGGGATGCTATTACACCTGTGGGTAAAGTTACATTATGTAGGCTGCGGTTTGTAGATCCTGCTGAGGAGA